AGCCATAGGGGAACAAGGCAGGCAGCCATAGGGGAACAAGGCAGGAAGCCATAGGGAACAAGGCAGGAAGCCATAGGGGAACAAGGCAGGCAGCCATAGGGGAACAAGGCAGGAAGCCGCACTCCTCCATGTTCTCTGCTTCAGTTCTGAGTCTAGGCTCCTGCCCTGGCTCCCTTGAGGATGGACTGGACATGAAACGTGAGCCAAATAAAGTCTTTCCTCCTCAAGTTGCTTCTAAGTCAGTGTTTATTACGGCAACAGAAGATAAGAACAAACGACCACACCACTGAAACTAAAAATCAGACACGATTTTCAAAAATGTAATTTCTAAGCCAGGCAGTGGTGGCGCACGCCTTTAATCCCAGTACTTGGGAGACAGAGGCAGGTGGATTTCTGAGTTCGAGGCCAGCCTGGTCTACAGAGTGAGTTCCAGGACAGCCAGGGCTACACAGAGAAACCCTGTCTCGAAAAACCAAAAAAAAAAAGAAGAAAGAAAGAAAGAAAGAAAGGAAGGAAGGAAGGAAGGAAGGAAGGAAGAAAAGAAAAAAAATGTAATTTCTAGGCTGCATCTATGACTCCATGATTCAAGAGCTTGCCTAGCAAGCATGGAACCCTGGGTTCAATCCTCAGCTTCACAAAACAAACAAACAAAAAAACTGCTGTAAACATGTAATCCTGGACTTATAGAGGCAGGAGGGTCAGAGTTCAAGGCCATTCTGGAGTGCACAGTATGTTTGAAGCCAACTTGGCCAACGTGAGGCCCTATCAATAAACAAGTAAATAAATAAACAAAGTGGGTCCTGTGGTAAATGCCTCTGAACCAAAAATTCTGGGAAGTAAGACAGGAGGCCAGAGTGGCTGTATAATAATATCCGACTTCAAAAAAGAAAATTCAAGTGTAGGGACACAAATGTCCATTTACTGTGAAAACAGTCTCTGGCATTGTTTGTAGCAACGGAATCAGAGGTCAGGCAATGATCATCAGCTTAACTACAGAATGATTAGAACCATCTCCTACTGTGCTTGGATCTCCTCAGTCACAACTGTTTGTGAATATACTCATCCACAGGTATATTCCCAATACCTGCAAATAAACCAGACACTAAGCCTCAATTATAGGATGACTAGAAAATTTTCCTGGTATAGTGGGATTCCCTCAAAAATAATTCTTAAATCCTGCAGAACACTGCTATATACACTGGTGACAGAGCAAAACAAACAAACAAACAAACAGATAAACCCAGGTATTTTTGACTCAATCACGATCCATCACTCCTGCAGAGAATGTAAGACAATTTCAACAATACTGGGAGTAAACAGCTTGGTTATCTGTCATGGGATAACAAAGAGAGTTCTGGGCAGGACCATGATGCCTGAAATAGAAGGGTCAAGAAACTTCACAGGCAGAATCCATAATTTTTTTCTCAAAATTATCCTCAAACCGAAAAGGGCTAACTAACATATCCAATCGTTATCATGCAAGTCATGTTAAGTAGATGCTCTAACTTCCTTTCCTGTGAAGGGAGAACTATAATCAGTAGTGAGTTGGGTGTGGAGAGGGAAGGGGGGTTGCTTGATTACGGTTTCCCCCACGTGTTTACTATTTCTGTGGCATGCGGGTGTGGGTGAGTGGCTGGGCACACGTGCACACACTGTGCACCACACCACTTATAGGGAGGTTCGATAACAAGTCGAGGGAAGCCATTTTTTCTCTTTTCTACCATGTGATTCTGGGCACTGATCTGAGGTTGTGAGGCTGGGCAACAAATGTCTTGAGGTGCCGAGCCATCCAAGCAGCCCAGGCTTTCTATGCAGCCCAGGCTTGGATGACTTTACTCTTCAGTGCCTCTGAGAAGGTTATGTAGCCCTCTCAAATAAAGGTAACAGCACTTGCTACAAAACCTGAGGATGGATTCAGCCCTGGGAACCATGTGGTGGGAAAAAAGAGCCAGCTCCTAAAAGTCCTCTAACCTCTTCATAGGCACTGTAGTACATGTGCACATGTGCACAGACACAAACTATACATAACAGCCAGGCATGTGACCCCCCCCATACACCTTTTTTTTTTTTTGAGACAGGGTCTCTTTACATAGCCTTGGCTGTACTGGAACTCACTCTGTAGCCCAGGCTGTCATATACTTTTTTTTTTTTTTTCCGAGACAGGGTTTCTCTGTGTAGCCCTGGCTGTCCTGGAACTCACTCTGTAGACCAGGCTGGCCTCGAACTCAGAAACCCACCTGCCTCTGCCTCCCAAGTGCTGAGATTAAAAGGCATGCGCCACCACCACCCGGCTGTCATATACTTTTAATGGAAGCACTTAGGAGGCAGAATCAGGCTATCTCTTAGAGTTAAAGGTCAATCTGGTCTACACTACAAGTTTCAGGCCAGGCAAGACGTTAAAATAAAGAAAGGAAAACAAACAACAAAACGCCTCATAATATACCAGACTGTCAGCACTCACAACAAAGTTGACTGATTCTCTTTGGTACGGCAGCGTGGGTATTTGAGGGCTGTCTCCAGCCACGGAATACTACATCAACATCAGAATTCATCGCCATCCCTCTGCTATAGAGTTTATTTCTCCCTCCTGCAGCACTGTACTAAGTTTCACCTTGAAAGAGTCTTAACTTCCCATGGTGCTGAGAAAAGACGGCATTTATTGATCTACCTGAGTGTGGCCACTTCGTTTTGTCAGCTTCACCCGTGTTTGGTCCAGACAGGGGACATCTCCATATCTGTTTTTCTCTAGGTTTCCTGGAGACCTGAAGAAAATAAGAGGTGATTTAAAACAAGGGGACGTGTGAGGATCTTAGGTAACGCAGAGGACAGGACAGCCAGGATGACACAAGACCCCTTCTCTAACGATAAAGGAAGGGGCTGTACCTCAGTGGACGAGAACCTGTGGATCCTCAACCCTTGTTGCTTCTGCTTTAAACAGTGCAGCAAACACAGAGAAAAGATAAAAACAAAATCTTAAAACAAGAAATAGGGCTGGAGAGATGGCTCAGTGGTTAAAGCCTACACTGCTCTTCCACAGGAGCTGAGTTGGATTCTCAGTACCCACATCAGGTGGCTCACAACCACCTGAAACTCCAGCTCCAGAAAAATCCAAATCCTTTGGTCTCTGCAGGTACCTGCGCCCATGCGTGCATTCCTACAACTTCCCACAGACACACAGACACAGAGACAGACACAAAACAGAAATGACTAAAGGAGTGTCTTCATCTCTTTTCTTAGGGTTTCTAAGACAGGGTTTCAGTATGTACCTCAGAATGGCCTAGGACTTCCTAAGGAATCCAAGCTGTTCCTGCTTCAACTAGTGCTGGAATTACAATCCTTCCCAAATGGTTCCACAAACTGCACTAAGTCTTCCAACATTAGCCTATGGAAGTTTTTCTCAGTCAGACAACTACACTGTGGTTTGTTTGTTTGGTTGGTTTGGGTTTTTTGTTTGTTTGTTTGTTTGTTTGTTTGTTTTTTCCTTTTTGGGGAGGGTGTATGTCAAAGTCATCCTCGGTTACATAGCAAGTCTTAGGGGGCACGCTTGGCTAGATGAGGCCCTATGGAGTAGGAAGACAGGGTGTAGGGGTGGGTGACAGTGGCAATGCGGAAAGTTATGCATGGTAGTTTTGAAGAGTGGTTCAGCACTTAAGTTGTTGAGACAGGAGAATCATCATTTTACGCTAGCCTAAGATACAAAGTATGTTCAAGGATAGCTAGGGAAAAAGTATTCTGCCTCGGAAGCAGATTTAATATACAGAGATCTTCAGCACATAAAAAGGAAAACAAGTTATTAGAGAAAATAGTATTTTCTCCTCTTTATTTTTGTTTTGTTTTTCAAGACAGGGATTCTTTATATAACAGCCCTGGCTATCCTGGAACTAGCTTTGTAGATCAGGCTGGCCTCTAACTCTCAGAGATCCTCCTACCTTTGCTGCCCTAGTGCTCGGATTGAAGGCGTGTGGCACAACTCCCGGCTCTCCCTTTTACATGCCCTGCTTTCCCTTTCTTTCCTCTTCAAAGCCAGGACCTCACCAGTTCCCGACAGAGCTCAACCATGGAACTACAGCCCTAGCTTCTCTCTTTCATTCTCTTACATTATGTTTATCTATTATTGATACTACAGTAGGGTTGGGGGAGAAAGAGAGGATGCACACACGCCACAGGGCAGCGTGTCCATGTGTGGAAGTCAGAGGACAACTTCCATGAGTCAGTTTTCTCCTCCCATGTGGGTCCCAGGAATCCTACTCAGGTCGTCAGGCTTGGCAGATGCGCCTCCTCCTGCTGAGCCGTGCCACTAGCCTTACACTCTTGCTCTGCTTACTGGCTTCTTTCTCCATGGCCTCTCCTCAGTTTACTAACTCAGTATTTTCCCTCTTTCTTTGGTATTTTCTTCAGACCATGACTAACCTGAACAAGAATTCTGAGATGAAAAGATGCTTAGAGAATCATTGATTCCTAAAACATTTAAAGGAAGACAAACATTCAACAGCCACGTATTACGCATATTCCAGCCACATATTTCAGAAAAACTAAGGTACAGAGTGAGGGAAAAAAACAGAAGGGACTTCTAGCTAAGAGCCCACTGAAAGCATTCTTAATTTTCAACAGACAAAGCTCACTAGTAAGAAAATAACAGCCAATGACAATGTTGTAAGAAGTCTAGAGAGACAGCTAAGAACACTAGCTGCTTTTCCAGAGAAAAAGCAAAGTCAAACAGCACCCACTTGGTGCTCCCATTCTTCTGTGACTCTGTCTCAGGGCATCTGATGCCCTCTACTGGCCACTGTGAGCACTGCATGCATGTGGTGCACAGACACACATTCAGACAAAACTCTCAGACACATAAAATATAACAAACTATATAAAAAAAATTTAAACACAGTTAAGACTAGATAAATGTGGTAGTGTACACCTTGAATGGAAGCACTAGAGAGGCAGAGGTAGAGGGATCTCTGTAAGGGCAGCCTGTTTTGGTGAATTATGGGTTAGCCAAGACTACATAGTAGGATATTGTCTCAACTAAAACAAAAAAACTTGATTATTTTAGATAGACAGACAGGCAGGCAGGCAGACAGGCAGACAGGCAGAGTGGAGAACAGTTGGAGAGAACAGTCAACATCAGATTTTGGCCTCTACAGATACAAATATACACAAACACACCCCATAACAAAAGAGACAGACATACTGTGTGCTGCGACCATAGGTATCATTAGGCGTCAGTGATGAACCAGCCGGATGATTCTGTGCCCAAGTCCTAAACGGTTCAATTCCTAAGAAACAACTCTCCTCTGCTCCTGTTACCGAATCCTTTCAAACACACAGCACTCCTCCTGACAAGACCTAGCATTTTATTACACTTTGGGCCTTTTTTAAACAGCACTTGCATTTCAATAAAATATCCAAGTTTACCATATTGGGTACATGCCTATAATAATACCAGCACTCCAGAGTCAGAGACAGGAAGATCTCTGTGAGTTCAAGGCCAGTCTGGTCTACAAAGTGACTTCCAGGCCAGCCTGAGTAGGCCATGCTGTTTCAAAAAAATCCAAAATCCAAAATCCAAAAGCAAAAAAAGAAGAAGGAAGAGGAGGGAGAGGAGGAAGGAGAGGAGGAGGAGGAAGAAGGAAGGAAATATTTATCTTTAACTATAAAGTTTCCCCATTGGTACCCAAAGATCACCAAAAATTTTAAAGTATAAGACATCAGTAACAGGCCCAAGCCCGAAGCAGGAAATAACTCCAGATGAAATTATTAAAGTGACTGTGGAGATTTGGGGGTGTGTTAGTAGTATATACTGTGTACACCTGAGTGTGGAAATGCACACGCGTGTGTACGTACATGTAGAAGAAAAGCAGGACACCAAGTGCCTTCATCTGTTGTTCGTCTCCGTATTACCTGGACCGGGGAGCTCGTGGGACCGTCTCTGCCTGTCCCACAATGGTGGAGTTATATACAAGCGCACCGTGCCTAGCTTACATACAAGTGCAGCCGTGCCTAGCCTTTCACATGGTGCTGGAGATCTGCACTGAGCTCCTCATGTTGCAGAGCAAGTGGTCTTACCCACTGAACTATCTTCCCGGAAAGCCTTTTTATTGATGTGTTGTTTTTAAATGTTGCCCGACTGGCCTGGAACTCACTCTGTAGACCAGGCTGGCCTCAAACTCAGAAATCCGCCTGCCTCTGCCTCCCAAGTGCTGGGATTAAAGGCGTGCGCCACCACCGCCCGGTGACCAGGCTCACTTCTAAGTCACAGAAACTCACTTTCATCTGCCTTCCAAGCCCTGGGAGTAAAGGCATGCGCTACTCATGTTCCTGAGAAGCTCCTTAACCCCAGGGAAACCCTCTTATAAAGGAACTGAGGTCCTGAAGCAGCTGCAGTCATCACTTGCCAGAAAAACCGAGGTAACTGATTGTGACCCAAACCTCTCCTACTTACATGGAACAGTGGAAAGTGCCAACAGGGTTCTCACGACGAATGTCTTCATACTCCTCATAGATGCCCCGCTTTTGCCTGGTGTTAACATAGTCTACCAACTCTTGGATGGTCATGGCATGAGGACCTGGAACATGTACTGAGTCCCAGTCTAAGGCAGGAGGCAGGGAAAACAGGATGATCTCATCCAAGGGATCTGGGTGGCCGTTCACTTGGGGCAGGAACTGGAAATTCCAAGTGGCGAGGTCAATTTTGACGTACCCACCCAGATTTTCTGGAAGGCACTCCCTAGGCAGGTGCTGGGTAACCTCAGATGTCTTTAATATCTGAATCTGCAAGGAAAGAAAGAACACGTTGAGTACAGGGGCTGTGGGTGAGCAAGGACGCAAACAGGATACAGACAAACGGCTTCTACTAGGTTTGAAAATCAGGTGAGATTTGCTTGAAACACAGTGTTTGAAAAGAGGCAGACTGAATTTTATCAGTTTTGGTTTACAATTCTATGAATTTCTCAGATAGCTAAGTTCGAACCCCCAGAATGTCAAACAAACCACTCCCAGAATTAGGGTCCAAGTTATTTCTCTTCTGAGATGAAGGGACAGTGAGCACAGACTCCGCACTGTAACAAGCCTTTCAGCACTATCTCTTGATGGCGCTCTTCCTGCTGGAAGCTAAGAACACACAGGTAGTGACCACTTTTGTCAGTCTTATACTGACTCGTCTATTCTACGTCTCTTAGCTCAGACTTTACTCACAGCTTTGTGTGACTGTCCTCAAAGACAGAACTCTATGAAAGAAAGACAAAGCCACCTGAAAATGGTAATCTATGAAGACATAAAATAAGTAATCATATTTGATTCTGTTACATACTTAAATATAGCCATGCTAGGCCAAGATGGCCTAGTTACTTCTCCTTAAAATCTCTATGGGTCAGAAATGCTATTCCTAAAAGATTATTCCCCCTTGCTGGTGCCTTTTCTTGTTTATTTTTTAAATTTGTGCGTGCGTGTGTGTGTGTGTGTGTGTGTGAAAGAGAGAGAGAGAGAGAGAGAGAGAGAGAGAGAGAGAGAGAGAGAACGTATACCACATTCAGACGATGAGAGACCAGAAGTAGGCACTGAATCTCTAGAACTGTAGCTATACTTGGAAGCTAACCTACTTGGGTGCTGAAAACCCAACTTGGGTGTGTGCTTTTAACCACTGAGGCACCTCTCTAGCACACCACCTTCAACCTCTTAAAAAGCTTCTCTTTCGTCTTCTAGCTCTAAAGAACCAGCTCATAGGAGCTGGAGAGATGTCAAGTAGTTAAGACCCAGTTCCATTTCCAGCATCCACATGGCATAACTCCAGTTCTCAGGGACCCTATGCCCTTTTCTGGCTTCTTACAATGCTAGGCACACACATAGTACACAGACGTGCATGTAAAATTGAAAACACAGCTCTTAAAAACAGAAAGTTGGGGGCTGGTGAGATGGCTCAGCGGTTAAGAGCACTGACTGCTCTTCTAGAGGTCATGAGTTCAAATCCCAGCAACCACATGGTGGCTCACAACCATCTGTAATGAGATCTGATGCCCTCATATGGGTGTCTGGAGACAGCGACAGTGTACTTACATATAATAAATAAATAAATAAATAAATAAATCTTTAAAAAAAAAAAACAGAAAGTTGTCGCTTTTGATACACCTCTTTTATGAAGCTTCTTCTTGAATGCCCAAGGTCAAACTTTCCTCTCTGCTCCCAAATAGCCTAAGTCCTCTGCCATAGGAACTCTGGATTCTCTAACAGAACAATGAACACTCAAGGGTAAGGACTGTCATTCAGTGTTTAACTCCCAGGACACAAGGCCTGGACTTTATGAAGTGTTTAACACATTCTGAATTTATAATTTATACATGCATATATAATTCCTACAATTCAAATGTAAGACAGTGTTTAAACAATCCTCACAATCCAGGGATCCGTGCAAATAAACACCAGTAATCCTAGTAAAAACAAAAATCACCATATAAAGGAACAGTTCCCTTAGACACAGGGGTCGTATCCTGAGAGTCGTCACTAAGCAGCTTCTTCAGCATCAGACGTCTTTACTGTCTCTACTCTGGCCTCAGCTACAAAGTTGCACTAGTACAACTTGCACAGTTACAAATTACACTAGTAATTTTCCTTTGTAATTTCATCACCATGAAAATCTGACAATGCAGCCAGGTGTGGTAGTGCATGACTTTGATCTCAGTACTCAGGAGACAGAGGCAGGCAGATTTCTTTGAGTTAGAGGTCAGCCTGGTCTACAATGCCTGGTCTTCAAGGACAGCCAGGGCTATTACACAGAAAAACCCTGTCTTGAAAAAACGAAACAAACAAACAAAAATCTGACAATGCAAACCTAATCTCTATTATTTCTATTCTTTTATTATTTTTTGAGACAAGATCTCATGTGTTCAGATTGGCTTCAAATTCACTGTGTAGCCAAGAATGGCCTTGAATCTCCAAATTCTCCTGCCAACACCCTCCAGGTGCTGAGACAATAAGGATGTACACACCATTGTTTGGATGCCATTTCTTTCAAAAGCTACAAGCACTGACTGAGACAGTAATTTTTCAGATGTAAAACACGCGAGAGATTAATTAGAGAAATAGAGTGAGTGTGGTCATTTTTAAATTAGAAACAATAACTGTTTCAAGAAAAAAACAATGCCCAGAGATGTGCATGGTGGCTCACTCTGGTCCCACCCAGCACTTGAAAGGCTGAGGCTGAAGACTGCCATGAACCTGATGCCTCATGAGCTACAACACAGTGACAGTGAGCTGCAGGCCAGCTTCAGCTATAGAATGAAACCCTGTCTCCAAGAGTAAGACTAGAAAGAGACTTTCCCCACCACCCCGAAGGTCACTCACAGGGACTTAACAGTATATAGTAAATAAACTAGTTTGACTTTCTTGCATTCTCATTCTCTCTCTCTCTCTCTCCCTCCTTCCTTCCCTCCCCCCTCTCTCTCCCCTACCCCCTTTTTTTTTCTTTTCTTTTCTTTTTTTTTTAATTAGGCTGGAATCCATTTCCAGGGGCCTTTTATAAGCTAGGCAAGTACTCTACTACTGAGCTACTTCCTCTGCCCCAGATAAATTCTAATACCAGTTAAGCTAATGTAATTACAGTAAGTGCTGATTTTTGGTTTTGGGGTAGGGTGTTGGGGACTATACCTAGTCCCTTGGGCATGCTGAGTAGGCACTTTGACACCGAGTTACATCCCCAATACTACTTTAAATACCATTAAATATTAATAGTACCCTATGTAGCACTAAGTTAAACTTTGGAAATCATACAATCCTTAAAATACTTCTGGGACACGTGGGTCAGTACTATTGTACTCAAGGTGTTGTGAAGAAAAAGGCAGATAAATTGTGGCCTTGTCCTAAGCACAGGTTTGTGGACAGTGAAGGCATTGCATCGCAGACTGATGAGCAGAGAGGGAGTGGGTACAGTAAAGGAGGAGACCCGTCTGAGATCAGCCCACAGGATTCTTTGAAGGCAGAAAACTAACGGGCAAGAATTCACCAGCAGAGACCAGAATGTATTATCTAGCTCCAGCAAGAAAAGTCTAGCTTGCCTTACCCTCTCGCGAACTTTATCCTTCAAGAGCAAGCTGATGATGGAATAGGGCACGCGGAACCATATGGGTGCTCCTACAATCAGCACCTTCTTCAGCCGGGCTGGAAATGCTCCCTGTGGAGAAAAATGCATGAGGAGTTAAAGCCAGCCATACCGGAAACTGTGCAGGCCCAAAATATGGTTCTTGCCACTCTTCCTCTGCATATGCAACAGAGAAACCTGACAGCTTAATTCAGAAAGAGGTAGGCTAAAAGTGATTTAAAAAAATAAAAAAATTAGAAGCTGATCTACCTTTAAAAGTAATGATGTTAAGTTCATGTTAATCATATACTTCATGGGTCAAAATTATTCTTTATTTTTTTTTATTATTGGTGAGTGGGGACATGTGTCACAGTGTGCACATGAGGATCAGTTTCCTCCTCTTTCCTTTATATGGCTAGATTCTGGGTATTGAACATAGGTCACCAGGCTCTCGTGGCCCTGATGTTTCTGTTTATACTGCACATATCATACAACAGCACACATATTTGCAGCCTACAAAAATTGAGCTTACTAAAACTTAGATTTTTAATAAGTTGAGGATAAAAATTTTACTTTATACTCTTCATCTAGTTCAATATGTATGTGTATATATACATGTAACATCTTCTACCTTCAATCTTTTCTCTATTTGTTCATTTATTAAACCAATAGATACAATCTAGGCCAGAGGTGACACTGTGTATTCAGCATGTGCTACCTAGGTTTCATATCCAACACAATAAAAAGCACACACACACATGCATGCATACACACATACATATATACATGCATGCATACACACATACATATATACATGCATGCATACACACACATACATACGCATGATACGCATGGATGCACACATGCACGCATGAATACACACATAGATACCCATGATCTAGCATGTACAAGTACAAATGAGGCCTTAGAAAAGTAAATAAACTACTCTCAGAGGAAAAAAGAGATAGCCCTATTTACATAAGACATGAAGACAGAAGTATATAAGGCATACACTGCAGCACATCACTAAGTATGCAAGGATACACTGCAGCACATCACTAAGTATGTAAGGCACACACTGCAGCACATCACTAAGTATGTAAGGATACACTGCAGCACATCACTAAGTATGTAAGGATACACACTGCAGCACATGACTAAGTATGTAAGGCACACACTGCAGCACATGACTAAGTATGTAAGGACACACACTGCAGCACATTACTAAGTATGTAAGGACACACTGCAGCACATGACTAAGTATGTAAGGATACACACTGCAGCACATGAATAAGTATGTAAGGACACACTGCAGCACATCACTAAGTATGTAAGGACACACTGCAGCACATCACTAAGTATGTAAGGACACACTGCAGCACATCACTAAGCATGTAAGGATACACTGCAGCACATCACTAAGTATGTAAGGACACACTGCAGCACATCACTAAGTATGTAAGGATACACTGCAGCACATC